TTTTTTTTGTATATCCTACTTTCCCAGTGATCTTGATGTTTTACGGTTAAGCAATAAATTTATTAATTTCTGTCAAAATATATAAATATCAAAACGAGGTAGCACTGAGAATATATTAGATGAAAACGAATACACGTGAAATTTATAATGCAAGGTTAATTGAACAATTAAAAGTATCACAGAAGTAAAGGATCAGCCGCTAATTGACAAACCGCGGCCCTCATTTAGTTAGCTTCATTCTACAAGATCACCAGATAAGATCACACCGAAAAAGGTTAGAAAATTATAAACAAACTATCTAAACTGAATGAAGTTACGCTGATGAAGGCTTCTTTGGTAGACGATATCTTAGCTCCTTTACTGCTCTCATCACCTGTGCTCTAGTCTCCTCATAAGCCCAAAGCGAACAGAAGACCACATTACTGTGTTCGATACGTTGTTTATTGGAAAGCTGACTTCTTATTCGAACTTCGGCCTACAAAAGCAACTTAATTTGCAGCTTGAATAATATGAGAAATAGTCCCAGTACTTCCCGCATGTCGCATGCTCTTTTTCATTGTTTCCTAGAGTTTCATGCGAAGGATACGAAAAACCAAAATGTCACATACATACTTTGAATATCGATATTGGAAGTATTTTTGCTAACTTGTCCGATTTGTTAAATCTGTTAGTAGTCCAAGTGGATCTCAATATTCGGGGAACTATTATTAAGAATTTGAACGAAAAAAACATACTTGTTCTTCTGAGAGGCCGTCCCGCTCGACAATCCGTCGCACCATCTCTTCCTGAGGAACGAACACTGTCCATAGTTCATCCATGTACGTGTGCCAATTTGCTTCGATGATCGCAGCTGCTTCTATCACTACAAGAAGCTGGTGATTTTTAGTAGCTAAAGAGAAACAAGAAAATTCTCGAGTAAGAACACAATATACCAATAACGTCGCTTTTCGACACAGCAACGCGGGCCTTTATTTTCTTCAGCAAAAATGGCCAAATCAGCTCACACAGCGTCTTTAACTTCTTCTAAAGTTGTGGATTCAACACGGCCCAGAAAGTATGTTGTTCTCACCTCATCGCTAAACACAGCCTGCCCCAAAAGCTTCCTATCAACCACGCCATCCTTCACAACGCCATTAAATTTTTTAGCTACGGCTTCTGTGAGTTCGCCGCCAGGCTCGTAGCAGCTGTGAGCTAGCTTGTCACAATCGATGACCTAGATTTTCGTTAATTGTTCAAAGTTTCGTAACATTCGTCGCAAGGGAAAGTCAAGACTAATTATGTCCAACACAAGTTTATCAACCTCTACCTCAAATCCTGGCTCTTCTTTGAGATACTTCGCTATATTACTTTTCCCGCAAGCAATACCTCCACAAAGACCTATTATATAGGGGAGTTCTCTCCGTTCCGGATGTAAAGTGGGTGGTCGCAAAAGTTTGCCGAGGTCTTCTCTATAAATGCTGTAAATCAACAGAAAGGCCTACGAATGTTGAGATAGTGAAAGTAGAGACTAATGAATAAAATGAAGTTCAAACAAATTGAGAGGTAACGAACCTTCGACGACTTGATGAACTAATTTTTGTTTCCTTGAGCACACGATCAACTGATTCCAAGAGATCAATGGTCACCATGTCTAACTGAGACATGTTTTTCTCCTGTAAATTTTAGAGGAGTAAATGATGTGAGTGCGTCACAGATATCAGATAAGGATAAAGTTCCGTGAACTGAGGGAACTAAGCGCGCCTCTCGGCCGCATTGTTCAAACAATCAGGGGTAATAAAATAATTTCAGATAAGAATCAACGCAATCATAGAAAAAGACAGAAACCCGCCTTTCGCACGCGATTGACTGCTTCACCTCCTTTGATCGTTTCTTTGCTAACGACTATTGCCTAAATAGTTCATCTTGCAATCGTTTTTCTACAACATGCATTACTAGGCATATAAAGAAATACTACATTAACATGAGAAATGGTTTGAACTACACACTTCCAGATCTGGTATTCTTGTAGACGGTCCAAAAGGATCCTCGATCGGCTCGGCTCGACAGACAACAGTGTCAGAAACGTCAGCAATAAAATCCTCTACAGCTCGAATCCGCATAGACACCGGTTCAATCATTTCCCACAAAGACTTCTCTACACAAAGGTAAGATTTCTCTTTCAAAAATGCAAACAAAAAACATAATATAC